ACCGCCCGCTCCCGTTCAAATTACACCAGAGTTACCGACCGCTACCGCGTTTTATTCGGGAATTTAATCCCGCGGCGCAAAAAATCCGGTCGGGTCCCGTGGTTCCTGCGGGAGAGCCGCGGGAATGCAGACCTCTACATTGTACTTCCTTAATATGACAAATTTCAGAGAGAAAAAAAATGTAGGTCATTGAGAATTGATTAGAACATGAAAAAGATAAGTCATAGCAGAATTCCACCAGGTGGTTATCATTTAAGGGACACTGATGATGTACACCAAAAAAGATCTTGGAAAAAAAATAAATAAAAATTTAATTAATTAAAAATTTAAAAAAGTAATTTTGTAATCTTTCGTTTAAAATGTATAAACTTTTTCTTTGGAATAATGTGCACCAATGAATCACACATACCTTAAAAAAAAATGATTTCATGATGTTTTCTGAGAGCACACATCCGAAGCACACGGACAGAAAGCGGCTGTCACAGCATGTGAGTACTAAACTAAGTTCTCATTCACACACAAGTTTACGTTAAAAACACCCTTTGCCACGTCACCAAGTGAGCAAAATCAAACGCGCTCGTTTTCTCAGACGCTTGCAGAAAAAGGCTTACGAAAACAAAGTTACTGGGTTAACCTATTTCACGTTTCCTTGGTTGGTAGATGCACCGGGGACCTGATTATAGCATTTAAAACCTGGAAAAGTCAGATTTTCATGATATGTCACCTTTAAGCACGAAGTTACCTGTCACTTATGACAATAAACAGCGCTCAGCTCTGGGCGTGTGAACATTATCAACATTCCTGCACCTGATTCTATGATTGTTTGGTTGATAACATGCTGTTGCTAAAGCACCATAGTTAATCTGCAGCATAAATGTAATGACTGATATTCCAGGCAATGACGTAGAGCTGCCACATCACCCTAAACTCATCCCCTGCTACAAAGGAAATCCAGTGGTTGGGAACAATGACTCTGCTCCTGTTTGCTATCTTTGAAGCCTCTTCTGACTCACGCTTCTGGAAGGCCTGAAGATTAGCAGGTGTTGACCAGGGAGTTGACCCCCCCTAACCTCTCACGTCAATTGTGGTCTAGAGGTTAACAGGCGTGGCCCGAACAAAGGCACGGAAACAAGACCTTGTGCCCGTCAAGGTGAAAGGCATATTTAAGCATTTGCCCAATCACACGGTGAAGGCTGATAAAGGTGAACACCTCCAGCATAGAAACTTACACAACAACTGCAGGACAATTCAAATGAATGGGTTGAGAAATAGCAAATAGATAGTGAGGTGAATGTATAAATAGTGTGGGTAATGTTTATATGGTTGCCATTGAATGGGACGCTACATTTTATTCAAAATTCATTGGATATTGACTAAATAGCTTCCATATATTTTGGTTTTAATAAGAAATAGGCAATAATGAACTTCCTGTCATCCTCTGATTCCTATTCTTTCCAACAACAAAGCATTTGAATTCAAACTAAGTTATAATTACAACATTTTAAGTGGGAAGTAGGACATTTCTGATAGCACATGAAGGCAGCATGAGAATGGGGCAGTGATGTGAGAAGGTCAGCCTAACGGATAGGACTACTTCAACTGTTATGCAAAAATTCATTCCAAGAAAACTAGAGGTATGTGCTTCACAGGATAACCCTGTGGCAGCATAACTGTTGTTCTTTTAGATAATTCTTGATCAAGCTCTCACTGTCCATGGACTTTTGGTAGCACATTTTCATTTGATGCCCTGAGTTACATTTCAAAGCGTCTCTGCTCTTCTTTTGTCTTTTGATGTGTCCACAGATACTCTTCCTCAAAGCAGGTCTCTGGGGATTGTATTTGGCTTCCTCAAACACTGAGGTATGTGGTATGCAAGAAGTTGTGGAACTTAGAAATGATTCACATTCTTTAAGGCCTTTGGTCAAACAAATCATACCAGTTAACGATGCAGAGTCAAGACACAAATGCCACTTTAATGAAGGAAAGTCAACTTAAATCTTTAATCAAGCTTAGAAATGCATACAATGATAAAAGGTCATGTTTCTTAATTGTTCTGCACATTTCTACATTCTTTAAGGCTGTTATTCCATAATGTGACTCAAAACAAGGAGAAGATGATAAATGGTGTGTTTTATTTCAATGCCCCACTGGCATTCGGTGTCATAGCTTGGCAACTATGCAAACATTTATTTGAGATCAAAGTCTAAGGTGTAACCATGGAGATACTGGAGAACTTATAACTATGATGCCTTGGGTGAACTGACAAAAATATGAAAGCAACTTGGAGCTGTGCTTGTCTTTGCAAAACTTGCCACCACTGAGCTACGAAGTTGTATGGAAGGAGACAAGGAATTGCTATGCAACTGCTAAGGTGTTGTGAGTGGATTTTAGTGTGCTGCTATGCAGTTGCTAGTGTTTTGGGTGTTTCTATGACATTACTAAGTAGTTGCCAGGGTTTTGTGAGTGGTTGTTTAAAACAATAGAGTCCACATCAAAAGAGTCAACATCAAAGTCTCTATAGCTATGTTTCCATCACCCTGTTTTAATGCGCATTTTGAAGTATTGCATGAGAAACGAGTGATTGAAATGGCAAATTTCGAAAATAAATCCCTTAATTCGCAAAAATGTTTTTACGCTCGCTTGAGGTGGTTTTTGATTTGTGCGTAAAAGGGTTAATGCGAATAATGGAAACGCATTTTGCGAATAAATCCAGCATGAGCGTTCAAAAAAGTCATGTGACTTTGCGCTATGGGACAGCATAACCTGACTAACCAGCGGACCGATTTAGTTGCACAGCATCTGAAATGTTGTCATGGTCATTCTGAAGTGCCCAAGCAAAGTCTGTCGTCACACTGCCTCCCAGAACGGTCTACCACGACTGCGTTCCCAAACAGCTGACATTCAGCACCGAAAGCTAGTCCGCATTTATTGTGTTTCGTCTGCTCACTCAAAGCGCAAGTAATTTATTATATTTGAGAATAATTATATTCAGTGGCTTCTCTTACTTTTCTTATTTAGTGCCAGTTTATCAGGAAGTGGCGATTTTGTTCTCTCTGACTCGTTGGATGGAAACAGTGCTTGTTCGCAAATGTTTTATGCGATATTCCAATTTTGCGCACAAGTTAAATTCGCAACTTTGGATGGAAACCCGGCTTATGATAGTCTGCTCTCTAGATATGGTTCAGGATCCTCCTTCAATGCAAGTACTTTCAATGTACTTCACTTTTCACTCGTTTCATCATACGGCAAACAAAATCCAGATTATTTAGAAAAGTAATAGCACTGATAATCAGTTTGATTTACTTTTCTACTCTAAAAAAAAATAGCACCAAACAACACATTACCAATGTACGTTCAACAGGAAACATTGGTATCTGCAGTGCAAATGATCTAAATTATATTTCAATTTTAAAAGCAATATTCACATGATTTATTAACTTTTTTTTTTACAAAAAAAGCCATTCATGTGTTACAGAAATGGTTGAAACATTTCATTGTACACTAAATTAACATTATTAAAATATTGTTGTAGTAGTTTTTTTATTGTTGTAGCCTAATAATTATTTTGTCATCACTCCATCATTGTGCTAGAAATACAACAATTCAAAATTGGTTCTGAATATGGTTAAAGGACACTTAAAATTATTGGTCATAAAAACAAACATACACTGAACAAAATTATAAACGCAACACTTTTGTTTAATAATCATGCTGTCTAATCAGCATCTTGATATGCCACACCTGTGAGGTTGATGGATTATCTCGGCAAAGGAGAAGTGCTCACTAACACAGATTTAGACAGATTTGTGAACAATATTTGAGAGAAATAGGCCTTTTGTGTACATAGAAAAGTCTTAGATCTTTGAGTTCAGCTCATGAAAAATGGGGGCAAAAACAAAAGGGTTGCGTTTATAATTTTGTTCAGTGTATATGTATAAACATAAAAAAGAATATCACTCTTAAAGCATACCTTCCTCAACATTACTCATTGGGCATAATTTATGTCCAAATAAACAAACAGTGCGAGACGAGATGAGTTACATCAATAACTTTAATACTCATAAGGTTAATGGTTCATTCAAATTGCCTTGACATGAATACTGCATGAATACTAAAAACAACTGTGGAGATATGAACTACTGTAATAATGACTCAAATATGTTATTTTCTGTGTTTCTGCTCTTTGCTCCTATAATAAACAAGTATCTTGTATCAGGTGAAACTGATTTGAGATCCTGAAATACCAACTTATCAGCATGCTTTACACCACATGACAGAAAGAGAAAACAGACACTGTGAGAGATGAGAGATGGAGGGGGACAAGATCAAAGGATGATAGTAAGAAAAGAAAAATAGAAAGCAAAAAGCGAGCTGGTTTGTCTTGTAGTGCAATGGTGAATGTAAGCAGAGAGGCTAATGCCTAATCATGCAGAGTGGCCTGGTTTTACCACTGACTCATACCAAGCACCCTGCTGAAAGGAATGTTCACGAACAACTACTGGCCAAATCCACTCCATTATATGATCATTGTTTCTGCTCGCACACAATCAAAGCTAACGGGCAGCCGTGTAAATAATCGCTGTGTGACAAAGTGTTAGCCGATATCATTAAAAACACGCTGGCATCTCTCTCCGAGAGTTCTGCACTTGTTTGAAGAATACACATTGAATAAACATTTTTCACATTGCCCACTGGTCAATGTGTTTGTGCTCCCTGTTGAACACAGATTGACAAAGTGAAAGTGTTACAGTTACTGTACCAGATACACTATTAACCTAACTAGTTTTTCAGTAGCCTGACAGTAGCCCAGCTATTTCCAGAAACATATATATTTTTTCAAAGAACAGTGGTGCAGTGTGACAAAATGCTAGATCACCTCTTTTATTTTATTTTTTTGGTGTAATCAAATGCACTCCATACCCTCTCACATATGCATCATTGGCAGCACTTTCTATGTGTGGATTTACCACTCCAGCTGCTGCAGTGAATAAAACCTGGACTGCCTCCAGCCTTTTGAAACGGGAGTCCTTCTTTTTCTTGCAGTTAAAAAAATAACCTCCAGGAGTCGTCATAGTTACAGATGACAACGGGGGCCACTCATTCACTCCAGGGGCATACATTTTGTCCAGGTGTTTATGGGAACTGTAGTATGTCACACTAAATGTGGGTCATCGGCAGGGCTCACTGTAAACCTTGATGATGAGCCAGAAGTTACTCCAGTTGGAGATCTTGGCTTCACTACATGGTCTTTACTTTTTGATGCCTTGTGGCTTCATTTGATAAAAAAAAAAAAAAAAAAAAGATTAATCAATTCTGGTTCTATTTAGTTGTATTTAGTGTAAACTGATCTGCAAAAAATTAACACGAGATCCCTCTATTTTTATAATTTGTCATTATATATTTTAGGGATGTCAATTTTCGATCATTTCCATGATCGATTGTCGTTTAAATTAATGATCAATTAATCGGTAACTTTAATGCAGCAAAAATCCTCTATTGCAGCAGCACGCAGTCACCGGCATGAAAGGATGTGCAAAAGCCACTCAAACAAACAGAATGCGCGTTGTCATCCTTTCCTTTCCGTGAAATTGTTTATGGAATATGAAAGCAAATTGTTATTTTTATTTTAGGCCTATTACTTACATAGGCTACACATTTTCCTTAAAGCATCCCATTTTGTCCCAGGGCTTGAAAACCTGTGCCTAGGCTAGTTAGGTCCATGCAGAAACTTGTGAA